TGTGTTGAATGTTGCCAAATCGAGAACCGTTTCTTCAAAAATCACTTCGATCTTCAAAGACACGTTCTGATACCAAATGTAGTGACAAGAACACTTTGATTTGACATGCGGAATTGTAAGAACACAATGAACATGGTGATTTAGGTGCTAAAAGATGTATTCGAGCATAGTAATGAGTTACAAAAAGGGATCTAGATTTAGTTCTACATAAATATCTCAATCACTAATCACAATGAACTACATCTCTCAAGCACACTCTACTAGTGGTATGCAACCCACTATGTATAGAGGTGCTAACAAGTCTCTCTCTCTATTTGTCTCTCTCTCTCTCTCTCTCTCATGTCACAAGGCTCCAATCCAACATGTGCAAGTGGGTTTTCTCAAGTCAAGCCTTCACTAGTCATCTAATGAAGAACTTTGTACCCAACAACTACTCTTTCCTTTCTCAATCGTAATACCCATTAATGTATAATCATAGTTTTCAATGAAACACTTCATTACTTCAGAAAATAGATTATGAGTACCCCTATGGATTTGATATATGAGGCATCTTTTACCAACACAAATGTCACATACCAAGTTTCCAGAAGTTTCCAAGATCGTCTAGAAAATCCTGGAACGATCAAGAATGTCGAATACATCTCTGAAGAGATCAAAAACACACTATGAGACCCTGGAAGACTCTAGAAAATTATGGAAGTCCCCGAAGAAATATGAAGTGATCAGGAATGATCTAGAAGACACTAGACAAAGCGTGAATAATTCAGAGGACTTTGGAACGACCTAGAACATGATAGGTCATGAAGGGACAATTTGGATAATGCTAGAACGTCACACAAATCTCTAGGATATCGTACACTAGTATAGAATATTCTAGAGTCTTGTAAATTCCCTATATATAGTTAGAAGATTCTAGATTAGTTAAGAAAGATCGGGATCTAGATCCTTCCTTTGAGGAGAGGTTAGAACCCTATAAATAGGGGTAGAGTCATTTGTAATAACCTATCGACAAGTTCACTTGTAAAGAATTCCAATTCTATAATAGAAGCCTTCTTTCTTACTTTAAAGTGTTCCTTATCAAATCTGTTGCTTCCTTGAGTCGTTAGTACATATACATCATTAAAGTTATCCTAACTTAGTCGACGAAACACTCGACACTTGACTGAGAAATAACGTCACACCGCTTAGAAGACCAGGATATCAAATTATCTCCAAGAAAAACACAATATCCGAAAGTGGAGCAGAGAGAGACGAGGCATCCCCCCAGTCAGCATCAGAATAAGCGAGTAGAACATACGTAGGGGAAACTTGAATATGTAATAACATGGTTTAACGTGCCATGAACGTATTGCAAGATACGCATAAGCGCATGAAGTTGTGGCTCCTGTAGGTCCTACATACATAGACAAATGTGATGTGCCGTAAAATCAATGTTTGGTCAAACGAAAGTGAGATACTGAAGGGCACCGAAAAGACTACGATAGATAGATGGATCCGCGACAGAAGATCTAGTGGAATCCAACTTATGAGTAGTCTTGGCAGGTGTACGAGATGGATTACACTAAAGCATATTAGCCCGATGAAGGATCTCTGTAGCATATTTTCTCTTAGTGAGAAAGAGACCGTGAGAAGGGCGAGTGACAAATATCCCCAATAAATAATTGAGAGCTATAATATCAGTCATGGAAAACTCTTTGCTGAGCTGAGCAATAATGGAGTGAAGGAGACTCGTAGAAGAAGCAGTTAGAACTGTGTCATAAACATATAGAAGAAGATATTCAATATCCAATCCATGATGATAGGTAAAAAGTGATGAATCAGTGAGACTATGCTGAAAACCCATGAGAAAAGCATGTTGATAAAACGGTTGATACCATGCCCTAGTGGCCTATTTCAGACCATATATAGACCATTGTAGATGACGTACATAATCTGGGTTCTAGGAGTCATAAAATCCTGGTGGCTGATGGATATAAATAGCCTCTTGAAAATGACCATGAAGAAAGGCATTCTTCACATCAAGCTAATGAATGGTATAGTGTCGAGAGATGGCCAAACTGAGAACGACCTGTATCGTGGCCGGTTTGACAACCATACTAAAAGTCTCATCAAGATCAATACCCTACTGTTGCTTAAACCCATTTGCAATGAAACACACTTCGTAGCACGAGAGAGCACCATCAACATTAAACTTCTTCTTAAATAACCACATAGATCGAACCACATACTCCCCCGGTAGTCGAGGAACAAGAACCCAAGTATCATTATTAATAAGTGCATTATATTCCTCATTCATGGATTTATGTCAGTTTGAATCGTTCAAATCCTAGGTATGTGACCTCGGGACAAAGGAAGTTTGAACATTGAGACATTGGATGGGTTTCATAATTCCACTTTTATGTAGGGTGTACATGTGATAGGTGGGTGGAGGTGGGGGCTCACGAAGAGGGGAGCGCTGGCTCATGGGGAGGAGTAGGAGGGTCTGAAGGTGGGGGTGGGATTAGGAGAGTGAGTGGTGGGAGAGAGGATGTGTCTAAGATTAGGAGAGATGTTGGAATCATAGAGTAAATCATAAGAGGAAGGGTCGATGAGGGTGACTGATCCGTAGGGAAGGACACTCTCATCAAAAGTGACATAACGAGTGATAATGACTTACGTGTAGACAGATCAAAGCATCGAAAACCCCGATGATATGCAAGATAGCCTAGGACAATATAAGAAATAGAGCAAGGTTGTAGTTTATGAGTGGTATGAAGACGTGGGAAACCTAGGCAACCAAACGCACGAAGATGGTTGTATGTAGGATGATAGTGGGAGAGTCGGTAGTGTGGCGTGCCATTAGAGATGGAGGCAGATAGTAGGAGGTTAAGTAAATGAGCTACCATGTTAAGAGCTTCGGGATAAAATGTGTACGTGTGTGTGGGGGGGGGGGGTACATAAGAATAAGAAAATAAGAGTGTGCATCATGTTATTAATTCTGCGAATCATACACCAGATTGACTCTTTTGTTGAGAAGGGTGAGGACATGATAACTGGAAAGTGATCCCGTATGTGGCAAAGTGATTATGGAAATGTTTGTTGTTGTATCTCCCCCCCCCCCCCCCCCCGGGTTATCACATTTGAATTGTTTGATGTTACCTCTTAATTGAGTTGTTATGGTGTTGGAAAAATCTAAGAATTTAGAGAAAGATTATGATTTTTGTTTTAGCAGGTAGACCCATAAGTAGTGGGTAAAATGATCAAGAAACAAAATAAAATAATGTAAACCAGCATTACTAGAAATAACAGATGTCCACAAGTGAGAATGTATAATCTCAAGAGGTGTGGAAACATGAGAATCAGACAAATAAAAAGGTAATCTAGTGTGCTTACTATGATGAAACGCATGGCAAGTTACCTTATTTTTAGAAAAATGACAAGAAATAGAACTACTAGAAGATAAATGCTTCAAGACTTGATCACAGGGGTGACCGATTCTTTGATGCCAAGTAGTGGGAGAAATGAAAAAACGCATGATTATGGATCTTGTGAATGGATAGAGAGGCCCGGAGCTATCACAACAGATTAGAGGACGTCGTGTCGGATAATCAAGAATGGTACAATTATAAGCATCAAACTCAATAGAACAGGTATTAGTAGTGATAAATTTACGGAAAGAGATGAGATTTTTAATAATATTGGGTGTAATAAGGATGTTTTGTAAATGGAGATGGAAATAAATATTTGGAATTAGAAAATAAGAGTGTCCCGATTTCATAACAGGTATTGTAGAACCGTTACCGACATAAATAGATCGAGGATAATGAGTAGTACTGGTGGAAGTAACTATACATGCATTCGTGTGAACGTGGTCCGTTGCCCCGGTCTCCATGAAGCAACTGGCATGTCCCGGGTCATTTAGTGACATGGTATTGAATAAAATGGGAAGGAACGTGGGCTAATCAGAACCGAGAAATGCCCATGGGGACTGATCCATGCCTGGAGCCTGCAATTGGGCCTGAGGAGTTGTTGATACTGTGGTGAAATTGGTCATAGTAGGCTTGGTACCAAGGATACCTTGGCTGGAAGAAATGGGCATGCCCATTTGTTGATAGTTCTGATGGGTCAGATGGTTGTGAGGCTTAGTGTGAGCCCAAGTGGGTTGGGTTGGGTTGGTGTAGTCATTCGGTGAGTCCATTGTAACGCATTAATTAACGCTCGTGGGGTGAAATAAAACCAATTATATGGTCTTGGCGTGCCAGCAGACGAAAATGGAGGTTGACGAGGGTGCTGGTGGTTTTGGAAACCACCTCCTCAACGATTGTTGTTGTTCCCCCAATAAGAAACGTTGTTGCTGTTTGTGATTAGAAAAGGGGTTTGCGACAACGCTAAGATGGAGAAACAATGGTTTGTAGGAGTGGTGTTTGTGTGAAGGGGTTGTGACATGAGGGTTGTTGAGCCTCGTTTCTTCAACCGAAAGCATAGATCTCATCTCCAAACATGTGGGGAAGGTTTTGGTGAAGCAAATGATTCTGGTGACACTATCGAATTTGTCAGGGAGACCGTTCAAAGCGTGAAGTACAATATTCCTGTCTCTGAATTTTGCACCAAGACCCTCCAACAGGTCCACTAGTTTTTTCACCCTTTCACAATAATCATGGATCGAGGAGTCTCCTAAGGAAAGGTTTCTCAACTATTTTTCAAGTTGCATTGTTATGGACTCAATATTTTCGTAGAAGAGAAAGTGTAGGTTCAATCAAACGTTACGAGTCGTGGCCTTGGTTGAGTAGGCCAAATATATACAGAGATATAAATCTTCTTGTTGGTGATAGGATGCCGAGCCCATTGAAAATTGATGCCGACAACTAGTCTTTTTCAGACGAACTTGATTTAACTGCTCTGTCGTTCTTATCCACTTTTCGGCCGCCAATGCGTCATGGGTCACCATCACCTCGATTCTCTTGTCATCGACATTCATGACATAATTTATGACATCCTATATACGACCAAGATATCGAATCTTATACTTCTTCACCATAGTTGCTACGTTCTAGGGTTTCAAGAACCTCGATGGGTTGTAGATGGAATGGATCGAAAAACGAATACACAAAGAGTTTTTGTGAATCCGATCTGCAATGTAAGATGACGATAAGTGATACATCCATTTTTACTTTTATCCTTATATAAAATTTACAAAAATATAAAAGGATAAATAGATTTTATATGCGTCTTTTAGGCGTCTTTTTTTCTCATAAATTGAATATAGACAAAACTTCAAAAATGGTCCTTGTGGTTTTCAAAAATATCAAGTTTAGTCCCTAAGTTCAAAAAACCTCACAGATGGTCCTTGTGGTTTCAAAACTTTTAACAAATGGTCCTTTTCGCTAACTCCGTTAGCTTTTGGCCGTTAAGTGAAGGGCATTTCAGTCATTTCACAACCACAGGGACCATTTATGAAGTTTTGCCTTAATTTTTTAATATTATTGGACCACGGATGCTGTACAGGTTCGAAACACTCATTCATCACTTCTAATGCCAAGTTTAGTTTGCTATAAGTTTCTGTATATTCTTCCTTTATGTTGTTATCATCACTCACCATCTTCAGTAAACTCCAACTCAGGTTGTTCGTTGTTAATGGAATCGATATGCCAGAAATCCCCATTAGGCCGGAAGATATTCCTTCACATTTTTTAGAACAGAACGTTTTATTACCATCAGAAGACATTGAAAGCCCTTCTTTTTTCAGGCAATCAATGTGGAAATGGCGCTCACATTGTTCACACGTAATTCGGTCATGATCATGACCTTGAAGACAAATCCCACAACAGCAAGATGGGCAGAACCAGTACTCAGAATCAGAAACTCCATTCAATCCAATGAAAGATGAATGATAAGAAGAAGTACAAGAATCACATAACAATAAATCACCACCATCGTTGCAAAAAGAACAAAACTCATCTTGGCCAGATATCGCATGATCAGATGATTTTGTAGATTTAGTGACTGTATCAACTTCGGTTTCTAGGTTTAACTGTGTTTGACAATCCAATAGAGACCTCCCATCATCTAGAAATATCCTGGCTGATGGTCTACGATATGTACTTCCAGCATGAGACTCGAATTTGCTTAGCAGAAAAAACATATTGCAACAATCACACTGAATTCCCTTCTCATATATACGCCCGGATGCCATAATATGATCATCTAGTCTGTTAAGATAAGCGACTCTTGAACCACTTAACACAATTTTTCTTTGGATTAGGGAAGAAAGAAGGCACCTGCGGCTCACAGAAGAAGGTTTCACCTTTCGTATTCGTTTCTTGGGTTTAAACTCTTTTCTTTTCTTCCCGGATTCCTTCAATTTCTTAATCTCACGAAGAGCTTTTCCTGGACGATTTCTCAGAATACCCTCTTTCTTTTCATCATCGTCAACAATACCCGAATCATTACTGTTCCCAACCGATTCTTCACTCTGTTGACGAAAATACGAACTTTTAACATCTTCTATCCGAATCCTTTTCTTGGGTCGACTATTGCTGATCACTGACTCATCGCTATTCACCAATTTCGTATCCTGTTTTGTACCTTCTTCGATTATGGAACTACTCACGTCAAGATCGTGATGATCTTGATGATGAATGAGAGATCCACAGGCTGTTCGGAGGGAGATATAAGTTTTACCTTTCGGAGAACAGTACCTAAGTTCTCGACGATTGGGTTTCTTCTGAGAGAGAGAGAGAGAGAGAGAGAGAGAGAGAGAGAGAGGGTGGGCCCTTTAATATTAAATAATTATATTTATTTTTCTTTTTTTTAAAAAATTAAGGCAAAACTTCATAAATGGTCCCTGTGGTTGTGAAATGACAGAAATGTCCTTCACTTAGCGGTCAAAAGGTAACGAAGTTAGCGAAAAGGACCATTTGTTAAAAGTTTTGAAACCACAGGGACCATCTGTGAGGTTTTTTAAACTTAGGGACTAAACTTGATATTTTCGAAAACCACAAGGACCATTTTTGAAGTTTTGTCTTGAATATAAATATATCCATCAAACTAGTAACTGATCCATCAATCTATATATATATATATATATATATATATATATATATATATATATATATTATTTGTAACTCTATCACCTCAATTACAAGTCTAACAAAATAATTTGTTGTTTTATGGAGTTTTTTTACCAAAAGATCATACTTTCAAAAAGTATTTACCAATTAATGGTATTTTTAAATTTATTTACTAAATAATAGTAGTTTTTTTTTTAAATAAGAAAAGAAAACCTAATGACCCACATTACACACTCTTCTCCCACAGATTTCTTTCGCGCGCGTCTTTTTCCTCAAACGTGCGTCAGCATCATCATCTCTCTCTCTCTCTCTCTCTCCATTTATGGCTGCCATTGTATCCGATTATCCCTCTCTATCGATTTGCAGCCTACAGATTCACATTCACGATTATCAATTTCTCGAAATCTCCTCTAACGATGTTACTTCCTATTTGATATATATTTTGTTGGTTATTCTAACTTTAATGTAAGCTTATGCTTATCGACCTCTAGTACATCAAGTTGTTCGGTACCATTCCTAACGCTTTGGAACATTAAAATCCTTTCATAACTACGATTTAACCTAGAACTATCTGGTAGGGGTATAGGAGATCATTTGGGAACATTAGCCGAAATTAGTTGTAGAACAGAAAATCGTTGAGAACCAAAGACTTTTTGCAGGCCCCACACATTAATGATCTGTTGGTGTTTTTTTTTCATTGATAATCTATGATTGAACTTAATGTTCAACGAAATCAAAATCAATCATCTTCTCTGAAGATGTCTCTCCATGTAGTGATATTTTTTCTAGGTTGTAAACATCGATGGACATTTCTGATTTGCAAAACATCATAATCTTAGTCCTTGAGTCTATGAAAGCTTGATTGCTGATGCCAACAATCGAATTTTACAGGCATCCCTTTTGTTCATCTAGATTTACAACGTTATGAAACTTATATTAATAAATGTTTCTATTGATATTTAATTTCAAGATTCGAACATGATTTAATATATATTGCTCTCCACGAGCAACACTGAGTCGCTCAAAAACCTTAAATTGGAAGGTTCTTAAGAGGGAGATGAAGGTGGCATAAGGATATGGAGTCATCAGAAATGGATGAACATGAGTGTAGGGTGTTCTGTGATATGGTTTGAATGGGTGCTAAATAATAAGATTAATGATTCAATATATATTGCTCTCCACATAACTTTACAAGGTCATAATTTTCGAACAAGATCAGTATTTTGGAGCATAAGATGTTGGAACATTTTCATGATTTCAAAGTAGTTCATAATTTTCAAACTAGATCGGTATTTTCAAAGATACAATCTACATAACTTTTAGAACAAAAGTAAATAGTAACATAATTTTGGTTGTGAAAAATGATTTCGAAGGAAATGTTTTTCAAAGACACATTATATTATGATTATTGAACATCTTCTTTAGGCTCCGAGTCCGAGAAATAAAAACCAAATAGTTTTTGTAAGGAAATTTCGAATTCATGAAAATATAGTAAAAAAGACATCACCGTAAATAGAATGGACCACTTAAAAAAAACTAATCATCAAAAATCATTAATTAAAAAATATTAGGTTTTTTTAGTATTTGCGAAATATGTAACACATTTTAAAAAAACCAGATTTTCAAAGATCGTTGTCATATTTTGTTAATGATATTTTTTATAAATGTGTTTTTTATGTGAGACAAGTCTTTTTCTTTTTTTAATGTGACCATTACCTCATTTTATATATTATAAACCAATTTCAAATCATTAAAAATATTATAAAATATGCTAAGGTTCCTCCTTGTCCTTTCCCCCACCCACAATTCCTTGGACCGGTGTTAGGTGGTGATACTCTTCGTTCATTTGTTTCGACTAATATTATAAAACTATCATACTTATCTTATATGCCGAAAACCTCGTAACTCATATTCTATGCTCATATCTTCTAATGTGTCCAACATTGATAAGGAAAGTCCCTTAACATTTGAACATTTTTTCTTACTATGTTACAAAAGTTGACTTTTTAGATAAAGTTCAATGATTCTTTTGACACCCCTTTATTTTATTGGCACTTAAGGTGAATATATTCAGAACCCATATACTATCTTAGCAAATACATAAATGTGTAGAAGGAGTTTTCGATGTGTAAAAGAATTTTCGTTACACATATATAGAGTTGGTGTAACTATAGATGATTAATTAAATCCCACCAGGCCACCAACTAATGGACTCTATTCAATTCCCATTTTTCACATTTTTTGTAATATAGACAACTTTCATAAAACATATATTAAGTTCTTATGTGAATGATGAATATTAACAATTTTTATATTTACGTTCTTATGTGTATGATCACTATGTATAGAAAACTTACATTATCTAACGATTCCTCGTATATTATGTTCATTCTCATGTGAAAGATGAATATCAAATGATTATCATATTTATAATATCCCGTGAATGATCATGTGTCTAGTAAATTTATAATATCTAGCGGTTTCTTGTTTATACAAAATGCTAATTCTCATATAAGTAACAAATATTTATATGATGAATATGAATGATAATCCAATTTCACAAATGTGAACCTAATCAAAACAAATCTCTAAATATTATTAAAAGAGAACCCTTAATTCATCAATGAAGTAATCAGGGCCCTTGATTGTATTTCAATCCTATGATTTCCACCCTTAGATCAAATTGTTGACATCATCTTCCCAAAATATAATCCAAACATTTAATTATAAAATCTTTAAATTTAGCAATTACATTTCAAACACAATTACATTTAATTATAAAATCTTTAATTATAGAATCTATCCATACTTTCTAAAATATATTTCACAATTCGAGCACAACTATATTAAATTATAGAATCTTTAAAATCAACAATTATGTTATCGATTAAAGCATATCATTCTATTTATATATATAAGATATCAGTTTCTCCATAAATCTGGCCAAAAAACATGAATAGCCGCCCCATCTTTCTCCTCTATTTTCTCTATTAAACCATAATTCTCTAATACTCTTCGTCCTCATGTCAATTGTTGTGCTTCAATTGATGCTTTGTGTGTTTATTACATAATGTAGCACCATAAGGTGGTTCCTTTTTGCTCATGTATTCTTAGAATTTGCGTATTGTGTCTTCCTTGCATCTTTAATTATCACACCTCTGTTTTGGATTCACACAAATCTCTACAAACTGAAGCATGCATCTCCTTCAAGTCATCTTTTGACAATCTATGTCATCATTAACCCTAATTAATATTGTCCATAATTTAACTCCCTTATTTATAGTTTTTCGCTTCAAAAATTCAAACCCGTTCAGTTTTTTCTTTTTTAAAAAAGTCATTAAATAATCATACTAATAATTATGTTATCTTTATTATATACTAAAATAAAAATCTTATGACATCATCTTAAACAATCTGGGCCCTTTATTGTATTTCAATCCTATGTTTTCCACCCTTAGATTGCTGACATCATCATCCCAAAATGGAATGTATTTAATTCCAATAAGAGTTTTCCACAAAATTAACTTAAATCCGTTGAAATGGATTGTATTTAATTCTAATAAAAGATTCCCAGATTTTAAATCTTGAATTTTCGGTTATCAAGGTTTTAAAATGGTCAACTTTAAAAACATATTACAAAAAATCATTTCAATTAAAGCATTAAATATCAACCATTAATATAAATTTGTTTATATTAGTAACCATTAATATAAAATCCATTTTTATTAGGAAACCATTAATACCAAAAAATCAGATTTAAATTATCACATGCATATATGATTCATCTCTGAATCCGCGGCTCACACTTATTTTCAGTTGTTGCTTTTTCTTCAAACATTCTCCTACAACATCATTCTTATTGCTTATAACTTTCATCATCATTCTCTGCTTCAAACCTTCGTTGTTGTGCACTAGAAGGTCAGTACCTTCTTTTGCTTTTTTATATTTTTTTCGATTATTTTTTTGTTCCTGTATCAAATATATGTATTCATATATTTTGATTTTCTTTGTCACAAATTACATGATATCGGTTAACTACTTTTCTGAAACTTTTCAAATAAATAGGAAAATATATTACATACCTTTAGTCCAGAAAAAATAATAATGTTCTTTGATGGAAACAAGTTAAAACACAATCTAGAAAAGTACTTTGATGGAATGACAAATACACCCCACCCGTTTTCCTGTTCATTGTAATCAATTTTTTTGTGTATTCTTTTAGCATGATACTTCCATTTTTTATCCGAAGGGTAAATCATTAATTTAGTATGTACAATGTTCATCAGAATGGTAAATCAGTAATTTAATTTAAACATTGATCAAATCATGAGCTGTTGCTATTTCTGTTTGTTTGATTACCTTAACCTGGTTACTGTTTTTGATTGTATATAATATCTTAAATTGCTGGCTGAATTACAGGGATTACAATCTTGATATAGAACTCAAATAATCAGTTAACATAAATATATGGTAATACCGAATGGAAAATGGAGTATAAGGGTATAATATGAATAAAGAGATATGTTTTTAGTGTTTGAATGTAAATTAATATCCTAATATGATGGTTGAATTACAACATTTCTAACTTTAAATTGAAATCATAACTAAAGGTTATTGATATTGTTGGATGGATTTTTTTTTAAATGCTAAGTATGATTTTAAGGTTTAAGGGCAGAAAGGTAATTTTATTTGGGATAGAATAAAGAAGGAAGATTCGAATTTACCTTTTGAAGGTATCAAAAAACTCCTAAATTTATGTGATTTATTTTAATTTAATTGCAAACTAAATGCAGGAAACCTTTAAGTAAGGAAATATAAGGGCAAAAGGGTAATTCGACTTACGAAACTAGAAAAGCATTGAGCTGGAAAAGCAATTCAACAATGGATATTAAGATGACATGTGTACTAAAATGATTCTTTTTGCATGATACTTCCATTTTTTATCCGAATGCTAAATCATTAATTTAGTATGGACAATGCTCATCAGAAGGGTAAATCGGTAATTTAATTTAAAAATGGATCAAATCGGTTGTTGCTACTATTTCTGTTTGTTTGATTGTCTCAACTTGGTTACTATTTCTGACCTTATTGTCGAATATAATAACTTCATATTATACCATTTTTAGGAATGTACTTGTAAAGTACATTGTTATAGCATTTTTAACAATAACCTGTTGTGAGTTTTTCATGTTTTAAATGTCTCTTTTAATTTATCTTTTATTCACTATTAAGGGGATGAATTTTATAAAAAATTTAATCTAGAAATAGTTAAACTATAATTATTCTAATTTGTATATATTTTTGTACAGCAAATACAACAATTCAAAGATTGTTTTCTATGACTAACAAAATTATGTTTCTATTTTTGAAATCTCATAAAACATTACATAAGGTTTTTTTTTGGCTTAACATATTACATCATTCAGTCTAGATTAAGTCAGACAAAACAACAATGTATAACTTTTCATATTAAATGTGTAACCTATTAACTTGGACTCGATACTCAACAATCTCTACAAACTGTAATAATTATGTGGTTTTTTTTACAAATTATAGCAACATGTATACTTACCATGAAAAAAAACTTTTAAGTTTAAAATAAAACTCAGTTTTTTACCGGTAACAACAATATACAAAACTTAATATCAACATCATTGTCTACCAGTTTCTCTAAATATTGATATATGAACTATATCAAAAGTAGGCTAAGAAGTTAAAATCTAAATTAGGATTGATCTTATTTCCTTGAATATCAGATTTACGGTATTATAGACAAATTTTTTATTTGATTCTTAAATTTTCTATGTGGTCGTATTTATATGCTAGAATAAAATTGTATAATTACAATTAACATTTATTTATTAAACTTTGTATGTAGGTATGAAACAATAATAAATATATTTTTAAAGAAACATTGTTCAAAATAATTTACATAATCTAAATACATGTTAATTTTGTTAATTCCTACACTTTCCTGTAAGATTGGATTTTTTTTTGTCATGTTACATTCAAAAGATGGATTATTAGAACAGGCACCGTAGGTGTTTGACGAAATGTTTCAAAGAATCTGACACAAGTTCTCTACATTCACCTCACAACCTGGTATAAATTTTGGTTTTATTTTTTTTTTCAAGATTTTTAGCATCATATGTTTTTGTTGTTTGCAACTTTGTAGTTTTACATGTTTTTTTTACTTGTCCTCAGGTTTTTCTATCTCTGATATGGCTTTATTTTTTATATTTGTTGTAAACTATCGATTCAATCTATTGCAGTTTGTTATGACTTTTATCAACGTCATAAGATTCTAATAAATTGTCCATTTCTCGATCTTTTAGAAAAAGATATTCTAATTGTATTACCATCTACGACTGTGGTATTCTATTTTGTTGATTAAGCGATCTATGATTTGCCTTGGATGGTTTTTACGGATTATGTTTGGCCTGATAATTGTTTCTGTCATCAAAAAATACATCCAACAAAAAGTGAAAGACGATTTTTTTTAAATTAATACCATTATCTAACTATAAATGATCTTTTTTCAACTTTGATGACGTGTAACAGAGTTTTGGTTGAAAATTTCAATTTTTCGGCATATAACAGGTTATGACTTAAATAATGATATTAGATATTTTGGCAATAAGGTTTTTTGCGGTTCTTAAATTATTTTGTAGAAAGTAGTCCAATTTGGTATTATTGATCTCACAAAAGGCAAGTCTCATGTCTCTTTTAGCGTATCCATTGAGTTTAGAAGTTTCTTGTCTATATTTGTTTTTAAAAAATGTTAAATCTTAATTTAATGAATGTAAGTCAGCAGGTAGTAAAGGTGCAAGAAGAGCAAAGTATTAAATATGGGATGATCATGGCTATGTCAAGCCAAAATAAAATTCTAAAGTAAGAAATGCTAAATTCAAAAGGTAAGAACTTGTAATGCAGAATACATATTATGCTTGCCAAATAAATAACCAAAAACTAACCTCTTCGTATCATAATAACAAGTAAGTTGTGTGTCAATTATGTATTTTGACATTTTCAATGAGTCACGGGCAATATCGAAATCAAGCAAACATAACTGTTTTTATATTTATTTGTTAGAGTTTCTTTATATTTAATATTGTTGGGGGTTTATGTGGTTCATTTCAAATGAACATAAATAAGTTGTTATTTTTTGAAATAAACAATTATATTTCACAATATAACCATAAAATAACAATGTATTTTGAAAGTACATTGTCAAATGTTGGATTATACTTACGTAGACACGTTTTCGTGCATGGTCAGGTGTATGTAGTTGTTTCCCTTGTCACAAGTAAAAAAGGTTTGAAGTTACTTTGTGACGAGGAAGATCGTTCAACTAATAAAAAAAATATTGTGTACAAAGAGATCCTTCAACGACTATATATATTTGTCGATTTCAGTGTATTTTCTATACATTTCAATAATACCAATAACCCTGATTTTTTTTTAATTATTCTGCGATATCTATATACATTTATATTTTATTTATGCGTTTCCCCGCGTTTAACGCGGGTCATAATCTAGTTATAAACCTAAACCTAAACAAAAAAAAAACACAAATGTGGGCAAATTTGTCATCTCACAATTAAATTAAATTCTATTCTTTCATTGCATTCCCCAAAATGGTGACACAATGCTACAACAACATGCCATTTTAGGCCCCTCTACATCTAAGTAATTTACAAAACTACCACCCACCTCTAATGAAACCAATATTTAACCAACTCTTCCATTTAAGTCAATTAACATACCAATATGTTCCCCAGATAATGCTCTTGATATATTTCCAACCTCATCAAGATTAAACATCACAACTGCCACAAATATAAAAACTCCAATCAATACCAAAAAAAAAAAAAAAACATATTTAATAAACATAAAAGTCAAAAAGTCAAAAAAAACCAACCAGGAATTCCATTCTCTTGACAAAATGTCACAGCCATCATGTCCATTAAAGCCACACCTCTAGAAGCAAACTCCCTAAAAGAAATGTGCTCATACTCACTCTCACCAGTGGCACAATCGTAAATACCATGTAAGCTACTACCTTTAATTACCACATCAGCATGAACTACAAAAAAATAAAATAATTAATTAATTAACAATCTTCTAAATGAATGAAAGATTTTAGGCGAAGTACTTTCTGATGCTCGAAGAGCTGCAGCTGTGTCAGTAGAGAAAAGTGGATTCCCTGTTCCAGCACCAATCCCACCGAAAATTACAACTCTACCCTTTTCCAAATGTCGAATTGCTCTTTGTTTGTTGTAAGGTTCAGAAACTTCCGGCATACAAAATGATGATTGTACACGTGTCACAACACCTAATTTTTCTAATGTTGATTGGAGTAGAATCGAGTTCATCACAGTTGCCATCATTCTGCTCACATATGAAAAGATAATTACCATATTAACCATTGTTGAATAAGAACAGATTGAAGAAAATAGCAACATACCCAATTTGATAAGCAGAAGTTCTATCAAGACCATTTGATGTTACCCATGTATCACCACAAAAGAAATTTCGTCCACCAACAACTATTGCCACCTGGATTTAGGGCTTCAATGTTAAAGGTAAGATCAGAAAGTGGAAATGTGAATGAAGTGAGAAATTGTTTGGAATTGAAGAATACCTCAATACCAATATGGCAAGCTATTGATACTTCTCTAGCAATTAGCATTACTACCTATAGAGTACAAGAAACCAAAAACGAAAAACCCCACTGAAGTTTGGATATTATGGAAAGATAGAATTTTTCCTTTAATGTACCTTTGGATCAATGTTTTGAGAATCAGTTCCAGTGAAAGCAGAGCCACTGATTTTGAATACAACTCTTCGCCATCTTGGATTTGTGACTGATTTTGGCTCCATGTTAGTGATTTGATGATTATTTGGGCTAGAAGTTGCAGTTGTGTATCTGTAGAAATAGAAAAATTTGATGTTTTTCTCTAAAATTGCAAACTGTTAGCTGCAATGAGAAAGGTGTATAGTGTATATACCTCTTGGATTGTCTAACTGAGCTGTTGATTCCTCCTACAGACTTGTCTTCATCCAACGCAGGCTTCAAGGGTAATGAATTTCCAACAATCTGTTCCATTTTCTGATACCAAGGCCAGTGGCTTGTGGTGTTTCCGCCATTGTTGTTCATAACTCGGTGTCTCTCCAGCTTATACCTCTTTTTCAAATTATCTACTTTGTTCTTGCACTGTTCTACGCTCTTCGATTGATTCTCGCACCTCTCGCTCACGACCGCAGCTACCTCTTCCCAATCCCGCACTCTCAAATTTCCACGATTCAATTGCATAAACTTCTCCAGATAAGCATCTAAGAGGAACGCGATTGCAGTGTCACTCCACTCCTCTCTATCCTTTCTATACTCTCCGCCGTTGCCTGAAGAAGAACCGGCAACCTTCGATTTCTTATTATAACTAAACGGCGTTCCTCCGTCGCTGAGATCTTCGCAGTCGCTACGTTTCTCGTTTCTTGCAGCGCTAATCCCAGATCTGTTTGGATCGGATTCATTTTCGTAGGTAACCACCACCATAGGCTGTGAACCGAACGCGTGATCACTGTAACCCTCGCCACTGGCTTGTAGAACACCATCATGTGTTGCCCCTGGAGGTGGTAGTTCGTTAAACGGGGGACCCTTGGAAGCTAATAAATGCGCGGTGGTCGAGAGGTGGTGGTGGAAACGCGGGTTTGTTTGGTGGCTGTTGGTGGTGCTGTCGTCACCGATAAGTACGAATTCGTCGTCACACGACGCCATCGAAAGAACGTTAGGGTTAGGGTTAGAATCGGCAGTGAAAGTCGGAACAGCGTTATAGACGACGTTAACATTTTGTTATTGAGTTTGTAGATAAAAAAAAAAAAAAAAAAAAAAAAAAAAAAAAAAAACAGTTTAAATGAACATTTTGGTAAGTTCTGAATGGCTCTTAATCATCAGTATTGAATGCATTTGCTTCATTTTCTAAACGAATCACAAGTTTGGAATGATTCATTTCAGCATTCAGTGCAATTTACAAAGAGAAAAATTATAAAGAAATTAAAGTATGCCATTTGTTTGTGTGAAATAAAATTTTAAATTCATTCTTTCTATATTTGTTTGGTGGATACTCAAAGGTTTTGGATGATAACTACATTTGAGAAGCAGCTTCTGTTAACAAATCGTAATTTTAAAATTAGCTTTTTTATAACCGAGACCTTTGTACGTATTGCTGCTTTAAGAAGAAGATCTTGCAAGTTGATACCAAATTAGAGGCTAAATTTGTAGGTGACTAAACTTATACATCTTATAGCAAATATTAGAAGTAGAAAACAAAAGCGCCCATGGCCTAATGGATAAGGCGTCTGACTTCTAATCAGGCGATTGTGGGTTCGAGTCCCACTGGGCGTGAGCATTTTTTAAAAATATTTTTATCTTTTAAAATTAGTTTTGGTTTTTGTCTTCTTCCAAATATCATATGACATTTTGTCGGCAAGAACATAATATCTCTCTCTCTCTCTCTAGTTTCCCTGTTTATCCACCTCATCTTTATCTCATTTCATCATTTCTTTTCTTTTTTCGAAAGAAAATTTCATCAGTTTCGCCAAAGACCATGATAGTATGTTACTTGTTACGTGGACAATAAATCTAGAAAATTCTAAAAAGCAATTTATTTGAATTTTGAAGAGTATTTGCTACGACAACATCCTTCACTTGATCAAACACTATCGATTAATACCAAAAACATATATAGTTGTAAACGGAAAACCGAATCATTTACAAACACTAACAATTTAGATATGACTTTTGTTGAAAAAAATCAATGATATTATATATCTTGAGATGACTATTTTTTGAAAATGGTGGTAGAGATTGCTTTTAGAATGTGTTGTGTGAATGAGAAAAAAAATCTAAAATAATCACTTTCGTAAATTGTGGTCATTTTCTAAATGCTCAAAAGTTGAGTCATTTCTCTATATCGCTCAAAGTCATGTGATCAATTTTATGAATATCCCTATAAAGACAAGTATGTCATAGATTTAATGTATCAAATAGATTGTCACAAACAACTTAACCAAACAAACTCTTTTTTCAACAACGATTGCCATGACCCATGACAAAGTCAGACGACAATTAATATAATTGAATCAAAATCGCTTGATTACTTTTTTTTTTCAACAACAAATGTAGTTTTATTAGATAACAGTTATCGGATAATGGGCGGATAATGGGCGAAAAGTACCAATGAGTTATACGAAGAAACAAAACACCAAACATTATAAGAACTGGAATTTAAAACATAATAGCAACAACTAAGCACCATTATGATCAATACAACCATTCCAACAACAAAAGCAACAAGATATTGAGTTGTCAATTGGATTAGTTTTCAAGAAACACATAAAGAAAGCACCAAAATATACCATCATACATTTGGCGACCACAACTCTACCACCAGATCGTGGTCCTCCCACAATTTACTCAAACGTCAGAGAAAATGGACATTATTATGTACAAATTCATAAGAAGCTATTTGCTATAAAATAAAGGGAACAAAATAACAACAAATACAAACTTGGATAAATTCAAGGATCGTGTTTATCAAACACTTTCTGAAATCTGTAATTTGTCCCTTTTGTCTGGGATATATGAATTCAGAAGTGGGATAATCCAAGAATAAACCAATCTGAATTACAGGCCTAATTTAGATTGAAAACACCAAACCTTGTTTGATGTATTCTTGAGACATAGATAAATTATGATATAATTTCGAGTATATGAATGTTCAACCCTTTTTCTGGAACCAGAGAAAAGTTCTTATACTAGAGGGAAAAGTGGTTAAAATCGGTTAAACCAAAAATGACGCCAAAACATGGTAGTTATTGGACACAACTGATACCTACATCATCATGATGTGATCAGTGGGGTTTTGGCGAGAAAATGCATAACTAAAGTCTCACTTGATACAACAATCCGTTTAGGTTTCGGGGCGTTGCCCCGAGCCCCGTTCGCTAACCGGTCTGCGGAACCACCGCCAGGGGCTCTGCCCCTTGGACACCGCTAGGGGCGCTGCCCCTAGACCCCGCCAAGGGGCTGCAGCCCCTTAGAACCCTGGACCCATGAGCGCTGCCCCCGGACCCCCGTATTCCCGAGTTCACATTTATGACACCGAGTGTGCACCCTGCATGTGACATCTCTAAAATCACGGTCATTTTAAAAATTTTATTTATGCTTATTAAAAATCAGAGTATCCTTTTTGAAAAATAGTATTGCGGAATTTGTTCCCAGAAAACATGATAATGATGTTATCAAAGCATTTCCAAAGAAATGTGTTTTTATTTAAAACATTGGGATGTCATCGTCAATACAGAAACATAAGTATAAACAAATCTTACACTCATTTACACTAATGATTTACATCTCATTTAATCTCTCAGTGTAATGTATCTTCGCATCGATACCTGTGATTCAAATAAACTGAGTGGGTCGGGTTGGGAAACCTGGTGAATACATAGGATTTTCAACCCACAATAATATAGTTAATTTGTTTCTTCACATATTTCATGTCAAACAATTAACCCAATTACCCATCCCCATTTTCTTTATTTATTCTTCCCTAAAGATTTATTCTAAGGGTCATCTCCTACATCGTATTTACCTATCATCATCGTATTTCTTTATATGTTTGTTCTTAAAGACTTTTCCTAAGGATCATCGCCTACATCGCATAGACAATACTGATTCGGGGATTACTCCCCCAATACGTGTCCAATAAGGGTTAGAGTATCATTGCATGAATACGTAGTTACTACATCGCCTGAACTCGTAATTCACCACCCACATGTTATGAGCTTGTCGGTGTTACCACATGACTTGTTTAGATTAGTCAGTGGTCGTCATCTGTACTCTGGTAGATGACTACATCGCAACATCGCAGGTCAAGGTTATGGCATCACCTAATCATCTCTTATCTTTTATCACCTTATTCATCATCGTATATCTATCATCACCTTCCTATCATCACCTACCTCTCATCACCTGTCGCAACCCAATACATATTTGTAAGTATTTAATACTTATATGATTAAATCCGTTAAACATCATCACATAATATCTTATCTAACACATAATATTCACGGCATAGATAATAAGCACATGAGCATGTAATTATCCAGATACTTCATATCTATGTGTAAGATGAAAGTAACTATGCACTCACTTGTTAAAGTGATGACTCGAAAATTCGGGCAGCGCTTCACTTCTATCAATCGTCTTTTCCTTCGACGAAACCTAGAATTATTATCGCTAAGTTTTTTAGTCTAATATTTATTGCGACTAATTATTAGTTTAGATTTATCATTAACTCAAAGTCTACTTTCATGATCTATCAAGTAAGGATCAGCCTGGTAGGACAGTTGGGAGGCAGGACCATTTAGGCATATAGCTTTTCTGAAATCCAACAACCAAGCCAACGTGACCATTCTAGACACCTCTTCCGTAAGTAGATCAATCGGTATAACGACTTTGAATCACTAATAAATCTTGTTTATAGGATCATAATAACGATTATGAACTTAAACATAAGTTATACTTAAAGTAGGGTAAGCATAACTCACTTACAAGGAAGTTTGGCGAGGAACCGGGCACTGCGCGAGCAGAGCTTCTAAGCCGAAAGCTCTTCTTCTCGGAGCCTTCTGGCGCTCCGGGACTCGCTTCTAGCACTTAGGAAGTTCTAGGGAATGGAAAGGGGCTATGGGGGTGTTTGAGAGAGAGTGGGATAAGACTGGTGTGAGAAATGAGGTGATTTGTGCCTCTATTTATAGGCTGGGAATTCGCACTACACGGGGCATAATATCGACGTACGTTGGCCGTACTCGGTACATTGGGCGTACCAAGCCTTACGTTGGGCGTACCAGTGACACGTGTCGAGATCTGGTGCACAGCCGTGGGGAGGAAGGTACGGTTGAGATTTAGCCACGTCACCTCCAAAGTTTATTAAGAAAATTAATTATTTTCTAAAATCTGTAACTTTCGCATACGAGCTCCGTTTTTGACGTTCTTTATATCCACGCGTAGGTAGCAACGTGATCTATAACTTTCGTTTAGACTCCGTCGGCCAGTTTTGAATTTATTTTTAAAGTTATATTTTAACAGGCTTACACAGTTAAAGTCCGTTAAAAATTCATAACTTTGTCACGACGTTTGTTTTCAATTGTCTTTATATCGTTTAGCTCCTATTAATGAGATCTTCAATTCTCATTTAGGTTGTGTCGGCTAAAAATTGATCGATCTAAAATTCGATTTCCGAGCTGTGTACTGCTACGCTAAATCTTAGAAAAATCAGAACTTCTTCAAACGAAGTCAGATTTGGATGTTCTTTTTATGTACCTTCTCGGTTTAACATATACTACGACTTTCGTTTAGATTGATAAGGCTAAAAAGTAGCTTATCAAAATTCACTTTTTACGATATGCGACGTCGTGCCAGTTTTGTGACATATACTATACTTTGGTTAAGATTATTTATTCTAAATAATCTTCTATAAAAAGTCATTTTTAACTCTTATTATTTATAAATTGATTAGCCCGAATCTGCGGGCGTTACATCGCACCTCTAAACTCGGTTAGTAAATGGAGCTCGACCTATCTCATTATTAATAATAATTACACCAAAATATGTTGATAACACTAAAATCACCAACAATATCTCCTCACAAACATTATAAATACCTAAGCCATAGGATGTATCAACAAGTAACAATTCACTCCCAACTCTCAATATCGCTCTTATACACTCTTGAGTACACATCCCTAACTTAGGTTTC